AAAAAAAAAAAACATTAAAAAAAAAAACTAAAAAAAAAAAAAAAAAAAGAATAAAGCCTAAAAGAAAACCTTTATGACTAGGGGGTAGGCAAAGATTTCTTACCAAGGACATAAAAACATAAACCATAGAAGTGGATAAATTGGGCTCTTTGATTTCCTTTCTTTCTTTCTTTCCTTTTTTTTTTTTTTTTTACAGAGAGAAAGAGAGCTCAAGCAGGGGAGAGAGAGAGAATTTTAATCAGGCTCCAAGCTGACTAGGCCCACAACCCTGGGATTATAACCTGAGCTAAAATCAAGAGTTGGACACTCAACTGACTGAGCCACTCAGGCACCCCTGAACGACATTTTTTTAATGTTTATTTATTTGAGAGAGAGAGAGAAAGCATGCATGAGTGTGGGATGGCAGAGGGAGAGAAAGAATCCCAAGCAGGCTCTGCACTGTCAGCATGGAGTCTGACAAGGGGCTCAAACTCAACAATCATGATATCATGACCTGAGGTGAAATCGATAGTTGGACACTTAACTGACTGAGCCACCTAAGCACTCCTGTTTTGTTTTAATTTTTTTAATGTTTATTTATTTTGAGGAAGAGAGAGAGAAACAGAGCGTGAGCTGGGTAGGGGCAGAGAGAGAAGGAGATGCAGAATCTTAAACAGGCTCCAGGCTCTGAGCTGTCAGCACAGAGCCCGACACGGGGCTTGAACCCACAAGCCATGAGACCATGATCTGAGTCAAAGTCAGAAGCTCAACCAACTGAGCCACCCAGGTGCCCCTCCTATTTTGTTTTTTAATTTTTCTTCTGATGGAGCTCAGGTGAGACACTACAACTCCAGAAAAAGGTTCTCTGGGAAGAGATGATTCAGACCCAATAGGCATAGGGTGAATTCCAAGAGGTTATACTTTTAGGAAGCATGACACTTTGTATAAACACTGAATCATAGAACAAAATCAGAATTGGTGACATTAGAATTCTGTACTGTCCAATGTGATAACTACTATCCATATACAGCTATATAAATTTAAATTAAAAAATTAAAAATTCAGTCCCTCAGATACATTACCCATATTTCAAGTATTCAGTAGCAAAACGTTGTTAGTAGTTAAAGTATTAGAAAGTGCAGAAACAATTCCCTCATCTCAAAAAGTTCTATTGAACAGCTCAGTCCTAGAAGGTAGGGGAAATGATCAAAGATGATCACTGTGTTTGTAACCTGAACTTGTTGGTTGGAATGGATACCAACTGAAAAAGATGATGCAGAATCAGGAGCAGATTCCTGAGGGTCACCTCTTATCTTTCCATGTCTCAAGAAGCATCTACTGCCCCCCCAGCACAGATCTATGTAATACCTACTGTATAAAGTATTCTGCAGAATATGTAACAAATATATGACTCAGTTTGCACCCTTAAGGAGCTTACAGTGCTGTTTGAGTGTTTAGACTTACAACTAAAAAGTCAACAGGTTCAATCCTGGGTTTTGTTACCCAAAAACAAACAGACAAAAAAGTAACAGAGATAATAACAAAGAGCAAATGAAACCCAAAAGCTAGTAGAAGGAAGGAAATCATAAAGATTAGAGATAAATAAAATACAGAATAAAATAAAAAGACATTGGAGAGAGGTGCCTGGGTGGCTCAATTGGTTAAGTGTCAGACTCCTGATTTTGGCTTAGGTCATGATCTCACAGTTGTGGGATCAAGCCCTGCATCAGGTTCTGTGCTGAGCAAGGAGCCTGCTTAAGATTCTCTCTCTCTTTCTCTCTCTCTCTCTCTCTCCCTTTGCCCTTCTCCCCTGCTCATGGTCTTTCTCTCTCTAAAAAGAAAAAATAAAATCTTAAGGGCACCTGGGTGGCTCAGTCAGTTAAGCATCTGACTTGGGTTCAGGTCATGATCTCACAGGTCACAAGTTCAAGTCCCACATTGGGCTCTGTGCTAAAAGCTCAGAGCCTGGAGCCTGCTTCAGATTATGCGTCTCCCTCTCTCTGCCCATCCCTTACTTGCTCGCTGTCTCTTCCTTTCAAAAATAAACATTTAAGGGGTGCATGGATGGCTCAGTCAGTTGAGCATCCGACTTCCATTAAGTCATGATCTTGCAGTTTGTGGGTTCAAGGCCCACGTCAGGCTCTGTGCTGACAGTTAGCTCAGAGTCTGGAGCCTGTCTTTAGATTCTGTGTCTCCCTCTCTCTCTGACCCTCCCCTGCTCATGCTGTCTCTTTCTCTCTCTCAAAAATAAATAAAACATTAAAAACTTTTTAAAATAGGGGCGCCTGGGTGGCTTAGTCGGTTAAGCGTCTGACTTTCGCTTGGGTCATGATCTCGCGGTTCGTGGGTTTGAGCCCCGCGTCGGGCTCTGTGCTGACTGCCAGCTCAGAGCCTGGAGCCTGTTTCAGAGTCTGTGTCTCCCTCTCTCTCTAACCCTCCCCTGCTCACGCTGTCTTTCTCTCTCCTAGAAATAAATAAAAAACATTAAAAAAATTTTTTTTAACTTTTTAAAATATATAAACATTAAAAAATAAAAAATAAATAAAATCTTTTTTAAAAAGCAATAATCAATGAAACCAAAAGTTGGTTCTTTTAAAAGAGTAACAAAATTGACAAACCTAGCTAGACTGACCAAGAAAAAACACAAGTTATTAAAATCATAAATGACAGAAATAAAAAGAATCAGGGGCAACTGGATGGCTCAGTTGGTTAAATGTCCGACGTCAGCTCAGGTCATGATCTCACAGTTTATGAGATCTGCATTGGGCTCTGTGCTGACAGCTCAGAGGCTGGAGCCTGCTTCAGATTCTGCATCTCCCTCTCTCTCTCTGCCCCTCCCCTGCTTACACTCTGTCTCTCAAAAATGAAAAAACATTAAAAAAATTTTTTTAAAGAATCATAAGAAAATACTATGAACAATGTATAACAAATTAACTAATGTAGGTGAAATGGACAAATTTTTATAAACACACTAAAGACCAAAACTGATTCAAGAAGAAATAGAAAATCCAAACAGACCTACAATAAGAGATTGATTCAGTCATCAAAAACCTCCCAACAACAACAAAAAAAATTCAGGACTAGAGGACTTCACAGTTTCTACTAAACCTTTCTAACAAACACTTAAGGAAGAATTGGCACCAATCCTTCTCAAAATATTCTGAAAAATAGAAGGGAAAATATTTCCTAACTCATTCTATGAGACCAACATTACCTTGATACCAAAGCTAGACAAAGATATCACAGTAAAAGAACTACAGAGCAAATCCTTTATGAATAAAGATGCAAAAATCCTCAGCAAAATACTAGCAAACTAAATTCAGCAGCATGTCAAAAGAATTCTACATCACAACGAAGTGGTATTTATCCCAAAACCATTAAATTGGGAAAGGACAGTCTTTTTAAAAAATGGTTCTGAGATGGGGCACCTGGATGGCTCAGTCGGTTGGATGCCTGACTTTTCATCTCAGCTCAGGTCCTGATCTCAATTTGAGATTGAGCCCCACATCAGGCTCCATGATGACAACTCAAAGCCTGCTTAAGATTCTCTCTCTCAGACTCTTGAATGCTGAGAAACAAACTGAGGACTGATGGATGTGGAGGGGGAGGAGGGAGATGGGCATGGAGGAGGGCACTTGTGGGGATGAGCACTGGGTGTTATACGGAAACCAATTTGACAATAAACTATTTGTAAAAAAAAAAAAAAGAGGAAAAAAAAAGATTCTCTCTCTCATTTCTCTCTGCCTCTCCCCCTGCCCCAATTCAAGCACACTTGCACTCTCTATGTCATATAAATAAATAGATAAATAAATAAATAAATAAATAATTTTTTTTTAAAAATGGTTCTGAGAGGGACACCTGGTTGGCTCAGTCAGTTAAAATCTGACTTCAGCTCAGGTCATGATCTCACTCGTTTATGAGTTCAAGTCCTGCCTTGGGCTCTCTGCTGTCAGCATAGAGCCTGCTTCAGATTCTGTGTCCCCCTCTTTCTGCCCCTCCCCCACTTGTGCTCTCTCAAAATAAATAAACTAAAAAAGTTAAAAATGGTTCTAAGAAAATTGTACATCCACATGTGAAAGAATGAAGTTGGACTCTTATTTTACACCATGTACAAAAATTAATTCAAAATGCATCAATCACCTAGTGTAAGAGCTAAAACTATAAAATACTTAGAAAAAAACATAATTCTGGAGGTACCTGGCTGGCTTAGTCGAAAGAGCATTCGACTCTTGATCTCAGGGTTGTGAGTTCTAGCTCCATGTTGGGTATATACATTATTTATATAAATAAAACAAGAAGAGAAAGAAAGAAAGGAAAGAAAGGAAAGAAAGGAAAGAAAGAAAGAAAGAAAGAAAGAAAGAAAGAAAGAAAGAAAATATTGAGTAAAATCTTCATGACATTGAATTTGGCAATGGTTTCTTGTTTACAACTCTGAAAGTATAGAGGAAAGAAAGGATAAATAAATAAATTGAACTTCATCAAAATTTTAAAAATTTGTACATCAAATGACATTATCAGTAGAATGAAAGGACAACCCATAGAATAGGAGAAAATATTTGCAAATTACATCTATTATAAGCACCTAATCTCCAGGGGAAAAAAGAAAAGAAAACAACTACAACTCAACAACAAGAAACAATCCTATTTAAAAATGACCAAAAGCTGGAGTGCCTGGGTAGCTCAGTTGGTAAGCATCCAACTCTTGGTTTCAGGCTTAGGTCATGATCTCATGGTTCATGGGATGGAGCCCTGAGTCAGGCTCTGCGCTGAGAGCTTGGGATTCTCTCGCTCTCTCTCCCTCTACCCATCCCTCACTCACACTCTCAATAAATAAATAAACAGACTTCTTTTTTTTAAAGGGCAAAGGCTTGGGTGGTGGCTCAGCTGGAAGAGCATTGGACTGTTGATCTTAGGGTCGTGCGTTCAAACCCCAGGTTTGTCATAGAGTTTACTTAAAATAAATAGATGGATGGATAACAATGGGCAAAAGACTTGATTAGACATTTCCCCAAAGATATACAAATGGTCAATAAGCATGTGAAAAAATGCTCAACATCACTGTCACGAAAGAAATAGAAATGAAAACCACAATGAATACCAACCACTTCACACCAATTAGGATAGCTCTTATAAAAAAAAAAAATCCGAAAAACAAAAATGGAAAACAACAAATGCTGTCAAGGCTATGGAGAAACTAGAATACACATGCATTGCTGCTAGGAATATAAGATGGTATACTTGTAGGGAACAGTTTGGCAGTTCTTCAAAAAGCTAAACATAACCCATATGAGCCAGCAATTCCTCATACAGATGTATACCAAAGAACCGAAAGCAAGAGACTTAATCAGATATTTGTACACCAATGTTCACAGTGCCATTGTTCACAACAGCCCAAAGGTGTAAACAATCCAAATGCCCATCAGCAGATACATGGATAAACCAAAAAAAGGTATATACATACAACAGAATATTATTCAGCATAAAAAAGAATAAACTCTGATACCTGTGATATGGGTGAACCTTGAAAACGTAATGCTAAGTGAAATAAGGCCAGACACAAAAAGACAAATCTTGTATGATTCCACTTATATGAGGTCCTCGACTGGGGTGGCTCCACGAGGGGGTAGGGGTGACTATTCCTACAGGGGAACTCTGACTTTGAGATCTGCAACTGTCTCCAAGGTCAGTCAGGAAGGGGCTTTTCTCTCACAGGGAGGAGGGAACAAAGACTAGATGGACCTGTGGGTGCGGAAGTGGGAGGAACAGGTGTAGGTGATCACACCGCACTTCAGTGTTTTAGTCGGACGTGGAGCCGGATTTTCAGGCGTGGTGGATTAGAAGGGGCTGTAGCCTGGCTCAGGCTGGGGGTGGGTCAGAGTTTAGGGGCCTGGTGTAAGGAGAGGAGCTTAACTAAAGTTTGGTCAAGCGAAGGTAGCTGGTATTTTGTCCAGATAGCTCAGTGAGTGCAATCGGTTCAACTAATCATTTATGAGGCAAAAAATAAGGGAATTTAGAGGGTCTGTGTCTGACCTGTCATAGGTGAACAATATCTAAGTCACACGGGGAAAGGTGGTTCCTTGCAGAAAACCCTCTCAGGGACACAAAAGGGTGGGGGGATTTCTTTAACCGTCGCTTTCCAGAATCACAGGGCTCGGGTAAAGTTCCAATTGTCAGAATGCAGGGAAATCTCTCCGCCGATTCAATCAGAGGCTGAAGAGGTACAGACGTAAGAAGGCGCAGGGTTCTCGTCTGAGCCCGCACTTCGCAGCCAGCATGTTCCGCGCGGGGTGAGAAGGCAGCCGGTGGGGGCGGCGGCGGCGGCGGCGCGGGCCGTAGGAAGGTTGCAGCCGCCATGAGCTCGGGTAACGCCGAGACCTGAGGCGGCGGCGGCGGCGGCGGCGGCAGGCTCCGCCCACCCTACACCCATTCCCCACCCCGCGCGCGTGCGCGCGCTCTCGGGGCTGCGCAGAGCCGATTCGGCGCGTGCTCTGCGCCCGGGCGGCCGAGACCAAGGGAGGCGGGCTGGGTGCCGGCTGCGCGGCCCGCGAGCCTCAGCGGGTCTGAGGGCCTCCAGCCCGACAGCAGCGGTGGCGCCCGCGGCCCCTGAGCCAGCTGAGGACGAGGCCGCGAGGCGGCCGCGCCCGAAGGTGCTGGGGCCGCGCCGCGTTCGGCGGGGTGAGGGGCTGGGGCGTCCGCTGGCCGCCGGGCGTGGGCCGGCGTTTCCCGGGCGGGGGCTCTGGCGTCGTTGGGTCCGGCTGAGCCGTGGCGCTTGTGTCGGTGTTGGGCTCGGTGGGCCCAGGATCCGGACGGTTTCGGCGACGCTGGCGGCGGCCGGGGCGAGACTCCTGGCCGGCTCAGGTGAGCCGCGACTCGGGCCTGCCGCCCGCGCTCGCTTCCTACGGGCAAGCACGGCGGAGGACTTCTGTTCTCACGGCGCTGGGAAACTTCGAGTGAGGCGCGTTAACATGCCCGCCTTTCCAGAGACGTGCCCTGCCAGAGCGCTGTGCAGAAATACCAGGCGCGTTTGTTTGGGGTGGCCATTTCCTCGGTGGCTTCGTTACCAGTCTCCCGCAACACTCTTTTGTAGGTTTCGTGTTCGCTGTTTCCGAGGTTTCATTTTGTGTGTGCGTCTTTTTCGGTTTTACTCTCAGTTTCTTGTTAGCAATAAGGGAACGTTAGAGTGGGGTCCAACCTCGACTTCGTACTTAATTTGAGGTGATGGAAAAATCAACCTAGGAAACGGACAGTCTCTTTTGATGTCCGTGTGGAACTGTGAAGTGTGACATTTTGTAAAAGTCATGGCTCAGTTTTGTTCGGGGAGTGTGTATACGTTTTTGAATCAGTTTAGTTTTTAACGGGGAAAGCTCTTTAGGTTGATGTTGTGCCTTCTATGTAAATATGCTGAAAGGCCTATTGATTTTAAAGGCAGTTAAAGTCAGTGAGTAGTGAGCACCTATTTATAACACTGAAGTTAGTGCTAGGCGGTGTTGGCATCCAAAAACGAGTGAGAATGGTGTGCAGGATGGAGGGAGTGATTAAGCACGCAAGTAATGATACAGGGCAGAATATGGTATTAACAAATTATTGAGTACTGACTCTTAGCCCTGCTACTGTGATAAATACATGGATACCCTACACAATATTTAATGTTAATTACTTAATTTATCTTTGAGAATTTCTTAGCACCTACTGTATGATGAGTGCCCACAATAAAGATGGTGACCTCTATAGATTTTGCTTTATGAACTTTGCATTGTCATTGGGGGGAACATATTAAACAGCAAATCACAGAAGTATCAGTTGGCCCTTGAACAATGGTGGGAGTGTTAGGGGTGCCAACCCCCACACGGTGGAAAATCTCTATGAATTCTGATTGCCCAAAAACTTAACTACTACTAATAACCTGTTGACCGAGAGCCTTACCAATAAGGTAAATCGTGAACACACATTTTGTGTATTATATGCATTATGCTGTATTCTTACAATAAAGTAAGCTAGAGGAAAGAAAATGTTATGAAGAAAATCCTAAGGAAGACAAAATACATTTACAGTAATGTACTGTATCAAAAAAAAAAATTGCATATAAATACTCCTGCATAGCTCATACCTGTATTGTTCAAGGCCCAACTATAAATACCAATAAACCAAGATAGAAGCTTAGAAAGAATGTAGCAGGTTGTGAGAATATGTAACAAGTGGATAACCAGCTGGAGAAGTCTGTTAAAGTTTTCATAGGAAAGCAGTCTTTAGCTAGGATGTTATAGGTAAATAGGAATTAGGTGAAAGTGACTCCCAAAGGAGGGAAGAAAGTGGAATCTATTTCACTGAAGGAGGCTAGGGAAGTTAACGGAAAGGTCACAGCAGTTGGATCGAGTATAGAATGCAAAAGGGAGCCAGAGAGATGATGCCAGGTATTTTAAGCAGTGTTAGGGATTTCGGACTGGCTGTTTATTTCTTTTCTTAAATTAAAAAAAATTTTTTTTGGTTTTAATGTTTGTTTATTTTTGAGAAAGAGAGAGAATGAGTGGTGAGCAGGGGAGGGGCCGAGAGAAGGACACGGAATCTGAAGCAGGCTCCAGCCGCTGAGCTGTCAGCACAGAGCCCGACATGGGCCTTGAACCCACAAAGCGCAGGATCATGACCTGGGCTGAAGTCAGCTACCCAACCGATTGAGCCACCCAGTCACCTCTCTTTTAAACTTTCATAGCAGAATTTTCAAACCACTCAAATGTAGTGAGAGAAATGTATTACAGTGAACTCCTCTGTAATATTACCCAAAATAGGTGGACCTTATTTGAAGAGTGTGGGTTGGTTATTGAAGAGTTTTAAACAGGTAAGTTTCAGTCAATGTTCTTTTTCAATCTTCTTTTAAGATTTTATTTTTTAAGGAATACACCACACCCAGCGTGGGGCCCAAATTCACAACCTCGAGATCAAGAGTTGCATGCTCTACCAGGGAGCAGCTAGGTGCCCCTCAGTCAAATTTGTATCTTAAAAAGTCCACCCTGGGAGCTCCTGGCTGACTTCATGGTATACTGAGCATGGGACCCTTGATCTCAGGGTTGTCAGTTTGAGCCCCCTATTAGGAGTAGAGTTTACTTGGAAAAAAGGAAAAAAAAGATAACCGTAGAAGCTGCATTGGATGGGGATAAGAATGGATGGGAGAAAACCACCAAGAGGTAATATGTGGGCCTAGAATTGTGACTGTGAAGATAGGATCTGTTCTAAGGGTACAGAGCTGATTTCTCCTCTCTCTGTTAATAATTTTATGTTTACGTCTTTCAGAGTAATTGTGGAAGGTTTTCTAAAGGAAATTGTATTTGAGCTGGGTATTTCAAGGTGGATAACACTTCAGTATGGAGCCCTGGAATGAGAATGTCTTGATATCAAAGGATGGCTGCCTCAGTGACCTTGACAATCTCTGCCAAAGTGTCCCCTTTTCCCTAGGATTTCTCATTTAAATTACTTTTTCACTATCACTTTGGTCCTTGGGAGCAAAGTACTTCCAGATTAACAATTTTTCTAGAAAACAAATATGTATTTTTTCAAGTACTATGATTACAACTAAGATAAGCTCAAACTTCCCATAATTTATGAGTTTTTAGGGGCACCTGGGTGGCTTAGTCGGTTAAGTGTCCGACTTTTGCTTAGGTCATGATCTCACGGTTCGTGGGTTCAAGCCCTGCGTCGGGCTCTGTGCTGACTGCCAGCTCAGAGCCTGGAGCCTATTTCAGAGTCTGTGTCTCCCTCTCTCTCTGACCCTCCCCTGCTCACACTGTCTCTCTCTCTCTCTCTCTCTCTCTCTCTCCTAGAAATAAATAAAAATATTTAAAAAAATTTATGAGTTTTTATTATTTAATAGTTAACTAGAATTCATTAAATTCACAAATAAACCATCTTTTAAAGTGTTTGATTTTGATGCTACCATAGTTAGTTTGCTCTTGAGGGTTCGGAGACCTACTTTCATTCCATGGAAGAGCTAAGTAAAAGGAACCCATGGAAATGTGACCCATCGGTTCCTTTGCCCTGTGTTTAATGACAGGAATGGCTTTACTCTTAAGGAGAAACTTCAGCTTCTATCTAAAGATAGTATACCCAGTGGTACAACATCTTGATACAAAACCTTAATCTTAAAAAAAAAAAAAAATGTAGCCTGTCATGTATGTTTACAGAACAAAAGTAAAATCGGTAATATGCAAATTTTTTATATTTGAATTTTAATGTATACATTAAAAATACTGTTTTTCTTAGTAGTCTAAATCTATTTTGACTGGATTTTCCTTTCAGCGGATATGTTCCAAAAAGCTCAATCTACTCTGTCTCCTGACTGATTTTATAACTGCAGTTGTTGGGAGTAAGTGGGATAATAATTGAGAAGGTGTTTGGTAAACTGTGATACACAATACAAATATAAGATGGTAGTGGTACTAATTGGAAGTAAACTGAAGCAAAATGAGGGAAATTCTATTCATCTGTCCCTTCTGATAACTGGGCTTCATGCTGGTGACTTAGACATTTGTCGGGTGGCTTTTTAAGTTCTCTGTAGTATAGTACATGACTTCAGTTCATTTGTGTCCCATGACTATGATGATTGTAGAAGCTCACTCAGTTGATATAAATAGATTTTACATGGCTTATTTACATATTACTAATTTATGGTAGGAAATACCTGAAATACCGATGCCTTTATGTCTATCTTAGATTCAGTTTTTACTTCATAAGTCTATGCCATGTTTGCAATTAGTAATTCAGTATATTTTTTTCTTCTTGTTAGTCTGTAAACTCTCCAATAATGGAGACTCTGTCCCATTAACCCTTCTTTCATTAGTTCTAAACCAGTACCTTGCGCACAGTGGTGGAAGGTTCAGTAAATATATAAACATTTTAATAGTTTCATTAGTGAAATCAAAACTAATTTCATAGCCGTGTTGAAATTAAAACTTAAGACAAAGCCTGAAAATGTTTCTTACCAATCCTAGTAACAGATTATGACAGAGGGATGAGTAAAGAGAAAGGAGCATACATTTTTGTATTCATAGTATTCTACTCAGAACAAGCTTGTAGGATGTCAGTCATCCCTATGCTACAGGTTTAGACAACTGGAGCTTAGAGAAGGTAAATAACAATGAAGTCACTCAGCTCAAAAATGATGTACCCAGTACTCCAATACAAGTCAGTTTGAATACAAGGTCTTCTTCATTCTCTATAGCTGTCATAAAACAAGTAAAAACAATTTATTAGTAGCTTATAACTATGACATGATGAAAAATATTAGCAGTTTGCTAGAGAGCAATAACCTGTGAAAGGGAAACCTAGTGACATTTTAGGGATGGCTCCTTTTTGTTTTGCACTTGGTTAGGCACTGTGGAAGCAACTCGAAATATGTAAGTCACCATACCTGTCCTCAAGGATTTTGGAACCAGTAGAGGCAACTAAAAAACACAAAAGCAACAGGAGTCATCAGTATCAGACCATATGATTTAAATGCCAAAAATCTACATGCTTTAGGAGAGGAATATTAATATAGTTTTAATATTTTACCTTGGGGTGCCAGGGTGGCTTAGTCGGTTGAGTGTCCAACTTCGGCTTAGGTCATGGATCTCACAGTTCTTGAGTTCAAGCCCAGCATTGGGCTTTCTGTTGTCAGCCAGAACCTGCTTTGGATTGTCTGTCTGTCTGTCTTTCTCTCTCTGCCCTCCCCCTCTCATGCTTTCCCTCTCTCTTTCTCTCTCAAAAATAAACATTTAGAAATATGTATATTACCTTTATGGTAGACATGGATCTTGAGTGCTGTGACTTGAAGGATAATTAGGATTTGAATGCCCACAAAAAAGGTTACATATGAACAAAAAAGTATA